TTTTTAATGACTTGGAAGATGGCCCAAGTGATTTAGTGCAATCAACAATTACAACATGTTTTGTTAAAAAAAAAAAGAACAACTACAAAATGTTGAAAGCCTCACAAGTCACAACTATAACAAAAATTCTTATGTAAAACCGTCTAATAATGTCTGTTGTACATTGCAGTCGTTCCAACTCGCCGGAAAGCTCCAACAGCAGCAACATCAAGGCGGCCCACAGCAGCAACAGCAACACGAGCAAGGCAACGTTTTCCGAGGATTCGACTCTCAGACTCTGGCCCAGGTATTCGGCGTGAACGAGGAGACAGCCAGGAGCCTCCAGTCCGAAAACGACGAGAGGGGCCACATCATCACCGTCCGGCGGGGACTCCACGTCATCACGCCGCCACTGACCCGGGAGGAGTACGGCCGCCGCGGGGAGGAAGAAGACCGGCCGTACAACGGCCTGGAGGAGACCATCTGCAGCGCCAAGGTGAGGGAGAACATCGAGAGGGCCTCACGCGCCGACGTATACAACCCACGCGCCGGGCGGCTGACCACCGTCAACAGCCTCACACTCCCCATCCTGAGCTTGCTCCGCCTCAGCGCAGCCAGGGGAGTCCTCTACAGGGTGAGTGAGGGGCTTCAACGCAATTATTTCAAATTAGTCCCTTTTTTCAACATTAAAATTACTCCAAGATCCAATTTTTAGCCGGCCATTGATCAAATCATTCTCCAATTTTCACCTTTTTGCGGCAGAACGCGATAATGGCGCCGCACTGGTTCGTGAACTCGCACAGCTTCCTGTACATCACGCGCGGCGCGTCGCGGATGCAGATCGTGAACCACCGGGGTCAGGCGGTGTTCGACGGCGAGGTCCGTGAGGGCCAGGCAGTGGTGGTGCCGCAAAACTTCGCTGTGGTGAAGAGGGCCGGCGAGCAGGGGTGCGAGTGGGTGGAGTTCAACACCAACGAGCAGGCGATGATGAACACCCTCAGCGGCCGGACCTCCGCCTTGAGGGGGCTGCCGAGGGACGTCATCGCCGCCGCGTACCAGATCTCGCCGGAGGAGGCGGAGAGGCTCAAGTTCTCGAGGGAAGAGACGCTCTTCTTCAGCGGCGAGAGGTCTCAGAGGGGTAGGGTGGCTTCCGCTTGAGTGGTGGCCGGGCCCATATTAAGTTTCGGGTTGGGCTAGGTTTTTAGGAGAATAATGGGCCGGCTTAGATGAAATGGGCCTGATCTGGGCCGGTAGCTGTCTTGTAACGTAAGGTGGTGGATGTAAGAGACGACTACTAGTGTAAAACTACTACTGTTTTTGTAATAATCATGATGATGATGATGTATAAATAAGAGCTGTGAAGCTTTTGTATGTTAGATGGTTATCTTTGTCAATGCATTAAGAAATTACGAATTTAGGTTTTCATGTACGACTTTTAGGGTCATACAAACAATAATGCATATCCTAAAACAAGACAAATACTATCTCAGTGTATTTACTAACATCTCTTAATATAAATATGTGTTCTTATTATAAAATATATAACTTTTCATAAAGCTAAAGTGTGTGTTTTAACAAAATTATGACAAGTAGTTTATTACAAAAGCATTAAATGGATTCATTGGCACATAAGTAATGAGTTAAAACAAGAAGATGTGAATTCCACCTAAGACAAATTCGGAGTTGGCTAATTCTAAAATGGTGAATCACAATTCAGTTTTTCGTTTCTTTGTTTTTGCGTGTTTCGTTAAGTCCAACTATGTCTGGCACATAGTCTCCTTTATAGAGTTAGTGTTTTCAGCTATGTCTGGCACATAGGGGGTGATTGTTTATGAATTCATCTAGTTTTTAACTAGTTTTTTTTAATCATAGTTACTTTTGAAAAAAGTTAGTATGGTTAGTAGATATATTAAAATAACAATTAAAATAAAATAATTAAAATTGATATGATGTAAAAGTAAGAGAAAATAATTGGATCTGATCACGTTAAAATTATGTGAGTAAATGAATAGTGAATTAAAGTTGATGTGATGTACAAGAATGATTGTTTGGATGATTGATTGATATTATTTAATTATATTGGTAATATTGGAGATAGTGGGTTGAGTTAAAATTGAGTTAAATTCTTGTACCAAAAAAAAAGTTGAGTTAAATTTGAGTTTTGATTGGATTTTTTTTAAATGGATTGATAAACAATTACACCCATAGTCTCCTTTATGGAGTTAGTGTTTCTTTTTATGGAATTCTGATTGGCTGTTGTGTGCTTTTCCTTGATGGAGTTCTACCCTCTTGGTCGCCCTATGTAATTTCATGGGAGGGAGGTCAAGGCTTTGCTCTAGTTCTAATGGTGTATGTTGGCAATTTCATGGGAGGGAGGTCAAGGCTTTGCTCTAGTTCTAATGGTGTATGTTGGCAATTCGTATATACTTTATTGATTTTTTTTAGTTATTAATATATTTGCCGTTTAAAAAAAAATCACGATTCAGTTAGTCAGCTCACACAATATTTTTCGGGTCTCACACAATAAATGATAAGATAAGGTTAGGCCAGCTCACACAATAAAATTTCGGGTCTCACGCAATAAACAATACAATAAGGTGAATTATGGGTCAATTAGGTTGGAACAACAAGATTTAGGAAAATACTACGGTCCTGTAACGGAACCATTCCCTTGCATTAAACTCCAATAATGAACTAACACATCACTTTTGTTTTATCACATCTAAGAGTCCATATAAAAACAAACATATCTAATGGTTTATATTGATTTGAGAGAATCATTCCTTCACGGAACTGTAGTACTTCCCCAAGATTTAATTAGGCCGACTCACACAATTAGATTACGGGTAAATAGGTTGTAACTATAAGATAAGGTGAATTACGGATCAATTAGGTTGGAACAACAAGATTCAGTCAATTAGGTTGGAACAACAAGATTCAGTTAGGTCGGCTCACACAATAAGATAACGGTTCGATTAGGCTGTAACATTACGAGTCAATTAGACTGGAACAACAAGATGAATTACTTGTGAATGGAACAACAATACAAGGAAGGGTGAAACAATGTTCAGTACAAAAAATGTAAGCTATGGAGTGATTTGATACAAATATATTCACTCAAAACAGGTTTTTTAATTAACCATGATTAATTTAAGAAAAAAAATATGATATAGTTAGTTGTGAGTCAAATTTTGAGTTTATATAATAATATTTCAAATAAAATAATTAAACTTAATTTGATGTAAAATACGAGAGAGGTAACGTAAAGTGATTACTAGTTGATGTGATGTGTGATTGAATAATCATTTAAAATTGATGTGATATTTATGAATAATTAATTAATATTATTTAATTATATTAAAAATATTGAGAACAAATTAATTTGAATTGATGTTAAACTAAGGGGGTGTATTCAATTTTAACTTTTAGAGACTTTTTAAGATTTTCAGAATTCTGGTGTATTCAATTAAAACTTTTAGAGACTTCTGAAAAGTTTACATGTATTCAATTGAGACTTTTAAAGACTTTTAATAAGTCTTTAAAAGTCTCAGGGTATTCAATTAAAACAGTCTGAGAGTCTCTATAAGTTACCAGGTATTCAAAACAGAAAGACTTTATGAGACTTTTAAATTGTGAGACTTTTAGAGACTTTTGTAACAAAATTACAAAGGAAAAGTCTCAACATAAATCTCATCAATATTTGTGAGATTTTGTTGGACTTATGTGACGTTTTCACACTCTTTCTTTTTTTCTTTCTAACACGACTTTGTATCTCATATCATTTTCATGCTCTATTATTTTACTTATTATTTTGATATCTTGTGTAATTTTTATTTTCATTACATATATTAATATGATCTTTTTATTTTATATATTCTTTATTATGCTTATTTATGTATGTATACCTTTATTCTCTCATTTTGCTATCTTGTAAATTTGACTTTTTCAAAGATTAAATGCTTCAATAGTTGCATTTGCAATATAATTTATGTGTTCTCTCTTTTTATTTGTAAATGTTTATTTCAATATTTTTTAAATTTCTACTATAGACATGCGTTCTCCAACTTTAGACATGCGTTTAAAATTTGCATATTCGAACGCATGTCTATAGTTGATATTGTAAAAATTATTTTATTTACAAATAGTTTATTTGTTAAAATTAAAATATTTTGAATATTATTGATAACTTTATAAGACACAATTACTGTTTTTCGGCAAAATTTGTATCTTGTAAAAATATATCCTGATAATATTTTTTTTAATATAACAACATTATGCAAAAAAATATAAAAAATAAAATCAATCAACAATTAGATAAATATATCTTAATTTGGGTTGATTATAAGTGTCGTTGTAGCAAAGATGTCTAACACATATTTGAGCTTGTGATCTTTTAACAAACTAATATAAGGCCCTGTTCGAGTTCGACTCGTTGAAGCTCAGAACGATTTACTCGTTTAATAATCTAAAATCCCAAACAGTTTATTGGTGAATAACTCATTTCGCATAAAAATGAGTTTATCCATAAATTTTTAGAGGAATAATATATACAACATCTTTTTTTATTTATTCTTTTTATATTAGTTATTATGTTACGTTTATTAATATTTTATTTAAACATAATATTATAACTACAAGTATATAAAAGTCTCAATAAGTTTTAAAAAGTCCATTATGAAAGTCTTAAAAAGTCACTAATGAAAATTCTCTGAAAGTCTCAGAAAGTCCACCAAAGTTATGAAAATTCTTCAAAGTCCACAAAAGTCATCAAACATAAAAAGTTTTAAAAAGTCCTTCAAAATCTCAATTGAATACAAACTCCTAAATTTTGGTATGAGCTGGAACAATTTATAAAGAAATAGGCATTTGAATTTTAATTTCACCAACGGGCGTTTAATAGATCGAGAGATAGATCTGACTACTTATTTGAAACAAGTTGTACTGACAAAAGTCCAAAGAACAAATCTCAGTAAATAATTTAATAAAAAGAAAAAAGAGGACACGACTCCCCATGAG